GGCGGGGCGGGGGGAGCCCCACGGGCTGGGCCCCCTCCCCAGCCACGGCCGGAACGGCACCATAAAAGGAGGAAGAAACACGACACCCTTCACAGCAGGAAACCAGACGGACGAGCACCTCGGGAACAAGAACTGCCACACGCTAAATACGAGAGAGGGTCGGCGTGACGGCTCGGCAGGGCACGCGAGGCCAGGGGCAGGGTCCCCGGAGCAGGACGGGGGACTCCTGGGACACCACAGGAACATCACTCGGCGCCCAACACTGCACTGAGAACAAAACCAAAACCAACGCCCTTGCTCTGTCCCGACCCACGGGCTGACCCCCGAGCAGCTGCAGGCCCTCACACCACAGCCCCCAGAGCTCAGCTCCTGATCAGCCCCACACACAAAACCTGGGCTGCCCACCCTGCCATGGCCGGGCCTCCAGCCAGACTTGATCTCAGGCTGACTCCAGGAGGGACAAGTCTGGGACTGGCACCCCAGGCCACCTAGAGGTCTATGTTTTGGAACATGTCACCTCTTCCAGGCGCCACATCACCAGCTGAATGACAAAGGTTAAAGGCCAGAGCTCTGTGCCAAGTGCTGCTCCATGACACTTGGAAAGCAGAACTTCGGACACCTCAGCTCAGAGAAGATAAAAAGACCAGGGCTGGGAGGGAGAAACCTAGAGGAAACATTCTAACCCACTCCTTGTTCAGGAAGTTAACTGGAAAAAGCATCCCCAGCAACTTCTCCACAAACTCCCAATCACTCAGAGCAACATTGATCTTCCCCTCCAGCAGGAACCCCCATCAACTATCCCCAACAACTTCTTCTCCTGCCACACTGCGCCCTTAATCAGGTTTAACCTGTTTAACCAGAGGATAGCAGGACCAGTTCAGCCATGTGAGAAACACCACCAAAACCCACCATGTCCAGCCAACTGCGCCTCCTCACAACACTGCAGAGTCACTTGTGCTGTCCTGGTCTGTCCCCTCTGCTCAGGAGAGTTCCAGCAGCCAGGAGATCACACAGACTTCACCCCCACGTCCTGCTGCTCTAGAGCAACACAGTCACCAGCTCAGACCTTTGGGAAGGGAGAGGGGATGAAAGTGTTTGTGGAAATGGAGTCAGGCCACAGTCAGCCTGCTTCCCAGAGCTGCAGCACCTTTGCCTGCCTGCCAGACTTCTGCAGAAACCAGAAAGATTCCAACTCTCTCGGTTGAGCTTAGGGGTAACACAGCATCACACGACAGGACAGCGTGTGGCAGAGGCAGCCACAGCAGCACAGCCCAGCAGCAGGGAGAGCAGCACAGGACACAGGGGAAGCCAGCAAGGTCGAGAATAAGTCACTTTTGGTACAATTGCAAAAAGATATCAAACAGGACTTGCTTCTTTTTTTGTCTTTTTCTAAGTTTTATAAATAAAGTCTGATTAACTCTTTATAAAAACTAACCTCAGAGCCACAAACAGTTTGCAGGAGGTTCATGAGAAACTTTTAAAATTATTTCTTTATTAACTTTTAGCTAGCAAAGTCTCCGAGAATATTTCCCCATTCATATGGTCAAATATTCTCTCCCTCTCAGATAAAAAAGCTGACTATAAATACGCTCTCTCTTCTGTCTGATTTTAATTTTAAACTTAGATAATTTAATAACTCTTAAAATGATGTTTTTCTCTTTAAATAAAGGGCTATTTAACCACATAAACTGGTTGTGTAAACCATCACACTAGAGACACTTGATACCCTCAAAACACGGGAACAACTAGTGATTTTGGTCTTGCTCAGTGCAACACATTAGGCACAAAACCGGCCGGCAGGCAGCAGTGCCTCCTCCCCGGGCCGGCCTGGCTGCTGCCCCGCGGGCAGCTCCTCCCTCCCTCCCAGCACGGATAGTTCACACGCTAACGCAACAGACATCTGAAGGAAACCCACTGTCAGGGCACAGAGGCACACCTAGAAAGGAATAAAAACCTACCACACAGAACAGCCCCACTGCAACTATGGTACCAAACGAGACACAAGCAGCAGGTTCAGGCCCGGCAGCCAGGCACCGAGATGCACCGCCTGGGAGAGTGATGATATAAAGCCTTTGGAAGTGACTGAGAATCAGGGCTCCCAGCCTCCCCCCTGCCCTTCCCCAAACCCCTCCACTGCCCTGCTGCCGGCCACGCTGCACGGACTCTCCTTGGCTGGAAAACCAAGGCCTGGCAGCCCGTCCCAGGGCGCTGCCTGCACAGCACACGGACGCGTCACCACTGCTCATACCAATCTGGACACAACAAATAAAACTGGAGTGATCAGCGGGCCAGTCCTGGGCCAAGAAGAAGGAACCTGGACCCATGTGGGGAGGGTTTGTGCTTTGGGGATTCCAGGCTGGTTTTGTGCCTAATTGCCCTGCACAGACAAGCTCAGGCAACACTCGCTTCACTAAGACCGGGCGTCCGTTTTGGATTTCACTATTGTGATGACACTGGTGGTGGCCACCTTGCCAGGGACAAGGGGCCCCATGCTGGAGGCCAGTGGCCCCCGCACAGGTGTCACAGGGCTCCGGGCCACGGTTCTGGCGAAGTTCTGGAGAGCCTCATATTTGGAGCGCAGAGCATCAAGTTCCATTTTCATGCTGGCGTTCTCAGAGGCCAGCTTCTCCACTTCTTGCTGCAGCTCTGCCTTCTGCTTCTCCAGTTCCTCCTTCTGGGTAACACGCTTGACTCTGCAGCTGGCCGCATAGCCCCGGTTCTTCAGCGTGCGCCGACGCTGCTTCAGCTGGATGATCTCCTCCTTCGACAGGCCCCGTAGATGCTGGTTCAACTCCCTTACAGACATGGTCACCAGCTCCTCATCTGTCAGGCTGGTTCCATTCTCGCCTGGCTCCCGCTTCACCTGGAAGAGAAGGCAGCACAGGCCCCTGAGATCTGGAACAGACACCTGCACCCCCACCCCGTGCCCCACCAGCTGCTTTACCTTCAAGGCCTTGTTTCCTTTGTTGGGGGTCGTCATAACACGACAGCCTGGTCGATAAGGTTCTGGAAGGGAAGGAAGGTGAGGTTAGTCCCCAGGATGCAGCAGAGCCCATGATATTCCCAGGGCAGGATCCAGCAGCCCCTGCACATCCCGCTGCCCCTGCCCAGACGACGCTCCACAAGCAGCAGGGACTGCTGCCCCTCCACACCCTGACTCCCTCGGAGGCTCTCTGGCAATGCTGTTTGGTTTGTTTTTTTCCTTGGGGTGGGAGAAATTAAAAAACTAGGAGGAGTCAGAATACACGGAAGCCACGTTTTTAAAAATAGCCCGTCAGGCAGCAGGCCGGGCGCAGAGCTGGGCTGGCGGGCCAGGCGCGCTGACTCAGCACCGTGGCGCTCCCTGTGAGGAGCCAGCGGCTCCAACACACCCTGCCAACAGGTGCCCAAGCACAGCCCAGAAACAGCCCAGGACAAGAGCTCCACTGGATCCTAGATGCCCCTAAGGACTCAAACCAGGACGGTTCAGGAACACCCACCCCAGGCAAGCAGGGGCAGGGGAAGCCTTTGCCTCCACAAATCACCTCACTGTGTATCCCACAAGACACGAGAACACCACTGCCTCACTCATGCCTCTCCAAACTTCCTCTGCTTCCCAGGACAGCCAGCACATCCAGGTTCAACTTGAAGTTCTGCACCCAGCCTTTCCCAGGGAGCAGAAGAACAACCTGGCACTGCAGTACAGGGAAGTATTTGGGCCCATGGAAACCTCATCACAAACTTGGCCAAAGCCTCAGCTTCTGACAGGATGTCAGAACTGGGAAGAGCAATTCCTAGGCCTGTGTTTAGTGTACCACATATGAGCTCTTGCTTCTGTCCCTAGAGACCTCCTCTCCTCAGGCTATAGCTCCGAGTGTGGCTAAACTGCCCAATGAATTAATTGGCTCAGATACTGCTTGACAGATGCAGCTGTGTCCCAAGCAGCCTGGAACTGCACACCCCTGCAGGAGGCGAGTGTTCCTCTGCAGGTACAGTCACCAGCACCTCTGTACCTTTCCTCTCTTCAGTGCCCAACAGGCAACAAAATCGTGTCTGCTACTGCCTTACTAAATGCAGGAAGCACTGATGTGCAGATACAGCCAAGAACCAGATGCACTAGTCAGCAAATGTGAATTTATGCTCTTCTGGCAGCTGTGACACAGGCTCCCCACAACACATCCACCACCTATCTGAGGTGAGCAGTGTCAGCATTCCCCAGGACACAGGCAGAGACCTTCCCGAAGCCTCCAGCCTGCCAGGAGCCAGACTATTTATACCCGGAGGACAATGCCCCTCCCAGTGAGATGTCTGCTACACCCTGACTGTGCTGGCACAGAAAGGGTCACTTTGCTGCCCGAGGCAGGTGGCTGCAGTGAAGCAGGCTCACAGCATGGACAGCACACGTGCAATGGCTTCATCAAATCAGTTCTTCACTCATTCCCACACCACTGCATTCCCTTGCTCATTGTATTCCTCTGCTCCCACCTGGCAAACAACATGGCTGCTGGGAAAAGGGGAGAAAGAAGGGAATAGCCAGGGAGAGCAGTGACACCAGCCCTGCAGCAGCTCTGCATCATCCCTGGCTGAGGAGCCCAGGGCAGGCAGGGTCTGTGGGGGCACTGACACGGGTTTGCCTGGAGGTGCTGGAAGAATCTCCAGCTGCCTGGCAAGCACTCAAGCTTCCTTCATTACAGTGGAGCTGAAATAAAACAAACGAGGCAACAAATGTGCTGCATCAGCCAGGGAGTGAGAATAGCTCCTTGGGAATCAGAGGGGCATTCACACAGTCCAGACCTGGCACAGCCCCCCACTTCTCAAGGGAAGCAAACTGAGACACAGCAACACACACGTCAGTCAGAACAGGAGGAACAACCCCAAGATGAGCTGTCAGCCGTTTTCTGGGACCCGTCTGAAGGATCAGAGATAGGGCTATTTGGCAGAGAGCACACCCAGGTAAATGAACTCACGACAGAGACCAAACTTGGCCTAACTCTACAGACTGCTGATTGCTCAGCTTCCGATAGCTTCCTGAAGAAAGATCACACTGAAAAGTGCCAAAGGCAATGACTGCAATGAGGAAAACGCAGCCTCAACACATTTCCCGGAGCTGGAAAGCCCTGAACTCAGCACAAGTGCAGCCAATTCTCCCCAGCCCGGGAGCTGACAGCACCGCGCATGATTCAAGGCAGGCCCCGTTCCCCATTCCCCACATTCCTGACGGCAGAACCTTGCCACGAGCCCGTGTAAACACGGTGACGTCACCCGCCCCAGCGCGGCCGGAGATGCCGAGAGAGGGATGGATGGAGGGATGGAGACCCACCTGTGGGGACAGGGGGCAGGGGAAGGGGCTGTGCTCCACCACAGGCTCTGAGCCCGTGCCCCAAGGACTCCCTCCCAGAGTAGATCTCATCCTCTGCTTATTTGCTTTCTCACAAACCCACTCACCCAGCTCCCTCAGAAACCCGAACCAGCGGGATGACTCCCCCAGTGACACACCAAGAGGTGACACAGGGACCCTCTGGGGAGGGGGGTCCTG